TGTCCAGGTGTGAAAAGAGTCCCCCGGAAACGAGCTCCCTCTTTTATGGTTCCGGGCTGGACCACGTGTAACATTTTGTACAGGGGTTTTAGGTTTGGTGTTTTATTGGTTTATGGGTTTTAACATTTAATTGGTGTAATGGTTTTAGGGTTTTATGTATATAGTTGGTGGTTTTAATAGTTATCTGGGTTTTGGGTTATTTTATGGAGGTTTAGGTTTTAGTTTTACCCTAATGATAATTTTAACCATCCCTGTTTTAGCATAGTGGTTTTATCCAATCAGTAGGACCGGCATAAAAGGCGCCTTCAAGATCAGTCTGTGTTCTGCTGCTGGAGAGGAAACTGCTGCCTGCCTCCGTTTTGCACCCTGCACTTTTTGCACTTGCACTTTTGTAATCATTGAAAAAACAAAAGTAAACTGTGGACCACAAGTACCGGTCTGTGTCTGGATTTGTTTTTTACCTTGCTCACTGAACCCCAAGCCGCTCACGGTCAACCGACGTTACAATTGAGCACATAGCATAGCAGTTTTTGTTTACATCGACCCACATAACTACGTACATCACTGAGCGCCATCATAACTACACCGAGCCTCTGGGTGGCGTCTGGATCAGATTCAAACCTGCAGCATTTACTTCGTTACAGTTGTAAATTTTACTCAGACGTACCTTGAAAAACGTGCATTAGTGAGCGGGCTCGCCTCTCCACAGATCTGCTAAAGCCTCATTTGTCTCTGGTCGTGGATATGAAACATCAGCTGTGTGTCCAAATGCGAACACATGAAAAGTGTTTGCACCAGAGGAAATGCGACTCTCTGAATGCTGCTTTTTTAAATAATGAAAACAAGTAAATGGAGGCTGCTGCTCAATATGATGAAATGACACTGAGGAGGCGGGGCCAGAAACCGAGAATCAGTCACTTGACTTGTTTCTATTACGATGTTGGTCATTAAAATCATGATCTAAGTTTTTTCTAACATTAAATACCCTAAAGATGGTGCTGTACCTGATTTTGATTTTTTTTTAAAAACAGAACCACTTCATTCTAAACCATTTGCAGTGGTCCAAAGTTACTCTTCACTTACCTTATGCACTCAGAGCGTCTTAATTATCATGATGAATTTATAAGTGTTTTTCACCACCTCCAGCTTCTAATTTGATGCCGACAGCACACAGTGGCCTTACATTGACCCCAAAAGATGTTTATACGATTCATCAGTACTGGAACGAGACAAATATGAGGGAAAATAAATCCGTGTGTCATTCGTTCATTCGTTTTTCAATATAAAACTAAAAATAAGAAAATGGAAAAACAACAGTTTTCTTCATTATTTGTCTCCAAACCCAAAATGAAAAAAAGGATAACGATTAGTTTTTTCAGTTTTGTGTTTAAATGCAGAATGGAAAAAACGGATAACGACCGTTTACGTGACTTTCATGACTGTGATGCCAAAATTTTGCGCTGCATACGGACTGAACCAGGACTGATCCAGGTCCGGGACCAGAGCGGGACCAGAGCGGGACCAGACCATGACCAGAGCGAACTCCGAGATTTGACTCCGAGCCTCAGCTTCGAGCTCCGGCCCGGCCGTGGGCTCTGAACCTCTGGTCTGGTCCCAGCCTGATCTCGGTCTCAGTTCTGGTCTGGTCCCGGCCTGGTCCCGGTCTGGTCCCGGCCTGGTCTCAGTCTCGGTCTTGTTCCGATCTCAGTTCTGATCTCAGTCTCGGACTGGTCTCGGTCTCAGTCCCGCTCTGGTCCCGGTCTGGTCTCAGTCCCGCTCTGGTCCCGGTCTGGTCTCAGTCCCGGTTTCAGTTCTGATCTCAGTCTCGGTCTGGTCCCGGTTTCAGTTCTGATCTCAGTCCCGGCCTGGTCCCGGTCTGGTCTCAGTCTCGGTCTTGTTCCGATCTCAGTTCTGATCTCAGTCTCGGACTGGTCTCGGTCTCAGTCCCGCTCTGGTCCCGGTCTGGTCTCAGTCCCGCTCTGGTCCCGGTCTGGTCTCAGTTCCGGTCTGGTCTCAGTCCCGGTCTGGTCCCGGTTTCAGTTCTGATCTCAGTCTCGGTCTGGTCTCGGTCTGGTCTTGGCCTGGTCTCAGTCTCAGTCCCGCTCTGGTCCCGGTCTGGTCTTGGTCTGGTCTCAGTCTCAGTCCCGCTCTGGTCCCGGTCTGGTCTCAGTCCCGGTCTGGTCCCGGTTTCAGTTCTGATCTCAGTCTCGGTCTGGTCCCGATCTCAGTTCTGATCTTAGTCTCGGTCTGGTCTCGGTCTGGTCTTGGTCTGGTCTCGGTCTCAGTCCTGCTTTGGTCCCGGACCTGGATCCGTCCTGGTTCAGTCCGTATGCGGCGCTGCAGTTACGGACGTCACGTAAACGAGAAACGACCGTTATCCATTTTTTTCCACTCTTCATTTAAACACAAAATCGAAAACTGAAATAACAAATCATTATCTGTTTTTTATTTTGGTTTTGGAGACAAATAATGAAGAAAACAGTTGTTTTTTTCGTTTCTTATTTTTGGTTTTATATTGAAAAAACGAATGAACGAACGACACACGGACTAAAATAGAACACAGGGCCTTTAAAATAATATGATCATTAATATCTAAAGTCTTCTCCAAACCTTTGTGTGATGCTCTGGATAAAACTTGAGCGAATGTGAAGAAAGCGCCGACTTGCACAGAGGAGCAGATACGAGCAGCTGTTGCCATAGTGAAAACCTCTGAAGGCACCAGCGGCTTTTTAAAGACAGTTTTGCCCTTGTGCCGTTCACTGAGTTCATATAGAAGAAGCTATAGCACCGTATACTGCACCAGCTTAACTACAACAGTGTCACGGTGTTTTACAAAGGCCAACTCTATTTTTGTTTGTTTAAAAAGAAAAAAAAAAAAAAAAAACGAAGTAGCGGTCCAAGATATTTCACAAGTTTGAGGGAAAAATATTTGGAAACTACTAGATTGTCGTAACATCTGATTTATCATTTGAAGTGGAGACACAAAACATTTAATAAAACACAAAATCTGGTGTTTGACAGACACACAAATGAGACAAACTAAATCATAAATGAAAGAACTGCAACAAACACAAATGTTCAGATCGTTTCAGATTGTCGACCACTGTTGGGCGAGTGACTTTAAAACTGTAATGTGTTTATTTATTTATGACTTGTTACTGACATTTTAAAGTAATTTGTTACATTACAATATTACTGCGTTTAAAATGTATTGAAAACCAGAACTAAACCAGGTCTAAACCAGAACTGAACCAGAACTGAACCAGGACTAAACCAAAACTGAACCAGGACTAATCCAGGTCTAAACCAGGCCTAAACCAGAACTGAACCAGGACTGAACCAGGACTAAACCAGGTCTAAACCAGGACTAAACCAAAACTGAACCAGGACTAAACTAGGTCTAAACCAGGACTAAACCAGAACTGAACCAGGACTAAACCAGGTCTAAACCAGGACAAAACCAAAACTGAACCAGAGCTGAACCTGGACTGAAACAAGACTAAAGCAGGTCTAAACCAGGTTTAAACCAGGACTAAACCAGTTCTAAACCAGGACTGAACCAGGACTAAACCAGAACTGAACTAGAACTAATCCAGGTCTAAACCAGGACTAAACCAGAGCTGAACCAGGACTGAACCAGGACTAAACCAGGTCTAAACCAGGTCTAAACCAGGACTAAACCAGGTCTAAACCAGGACTGAACCAGGACTAAACCAGGTCTAAACCAGGACTAAACCAAAACTGAACCAGGTCTAAACCAGGTCTAAACCAGCACTGAACCAGGACTAAACCAGGACTAAACCAGGTCTAAACCAGGACTGAACCAGAACTAAACCAGGACTGAACCAGAACTAAACCAGGTCTAAACCAGGACTAATCCAGGTCTAAACCAGGTCTAAACCAAGACTAAACCAGAACTGAACCAGGACTAAACCAGGTCTAAACCAGGACTAAACCAAAACTGAACCAGAGCTGAACCTGGACTGAACCAAGACTAAAGCAGGTCTAAACCAGGTTTAAACCAGGACTAAACCAGTTCTAAACCAGGACTACACCAGAGCTGAACCAGGACTGAACCAGAACTGAACCAGGACTAAACCAGAACTAAACCAGAACTAAACTAGGACTAATCCATGTCTAAACCAGGACTAAACCAGAGGTGAACCAGGACTGAACCAGGACTAATCCAAAACTAAACTCGGTCTAAACCAGAACCGAACCAGGACTTAACCAGAACTAAACCAGGTCTAAACCGAGACTAAACCAGGACTAATCTTGGACTAGAACTTGGAATGAGAGAGAACCTGAGCCCGTGTCAGCTGCGTGGAGTTCTGCGTCGGTCCTTTCGCCCGCGGTCACCTGACGGTCTACACGGGCGCGTCTCCGGCTGCTGATATTGCGGCGATTTTAACGAAATTTGCATGAAGAAAAACGAAAAACCCACCACTTCAATCCAGGTTAAAAATGCATTGTAACACTGATATTTGTACCGAGTAAAATAACTAACTACTGTATTTTCTGTAGTTATTTTTTCTATTAGACGCGCTCTTAAGCCTCCAACCCCATCAAAAAACGACCCACAATCCAGAGCGCCCCATACACGAATCCACTCAGAACACGCAAACACACACGGAGCAGACAGCGACCGCACAGCGAAACACACCCACAGACACACTCATCGCTCCACGCCGACGAGGAACGGAACGGAGGAACGAACCGAAAAAGCGAGCGCGACGTGCCGCTTCTAGACACGACTGAACAACTGAGTCACTGCGAACACGCCGACAATCCGTTGGTCCCGGACACACCCTCCCTACACGCCACAACTGAACAAAGCCCAGAGTCACCGTGAACGAACAAACAAACAAAACCACTCACCCATCACACTGTTGGGTTTCCTTTAAAGTCCCACGCGGTTTATTTGTGAAAAAAAGTTTGAAAATAGACTGTAACCCGCATTTGAGACTTTTATTGTTGCGGGTCAATTCCGTTTCACCCCGATCTCCCCCACTTCCTTTAAGTTGCGGGGTCACAGTGTCACTTCCTCCTCCTCCGCTCCGCTGTGGCTGTGGCTGGTCTGGGCGTGTTGGCAAACAATTTCACTGAACTTGTTAACTACGAATAGTACAACATCCACAATTAGGTGAGTGTTTTGCCATATTACTAGAATGCTGCCGATTTAATGATCACGTTCAAGAATTTCGTTAAACTAGTTAATACTGTAAAAATCACTAATGCCACGTCTCCGATCCTCATAGAGCCTCCATATAGATTGTGCGCACCTGGCCGTGTATGGAGAGGAGATCGCGACGCGAAATTCGAAGGTATCTGACTTTTCTTTTGTCCTAATAAGAAAGCCGAAATTAAGGTAAAAGATTGCTTCATGTAGTCGCTAACTTTGTTTTTCGTGACCTTGATTAATTTGTGCAGTTTTAGCACAGTTATTAGTAATTGTTAAAACTCCGGTGGAGTTCGTCAATTTGAATTGAGCGTAGCTACGCACTTTACTTTGAACCATATTGATATTGCGCAATATTTGAATTTATCGGCCTCTGCTTGGGCATTGTTTGATAACTTTTTGATTTAAGTGCACTTAATTATGATCAACTCACTTAATTATGATCAACTCACTTAATTATGATCAACTCACTTAATTATGATCAACTCACTTAATTATGATAACTTATTGAATTTCCTTGATTTATTAACTAACTTAATTAATCATTTAATTTAATGATTTAAATGATACACTTAATAACTTATTTAATTGATATTAATTTTCTTTCACTTATTCACATTGAATTCATTCATGAATTGAATATTAATTGTAATTGTTAAATGTTAATCCTTATGGACTTTTTGGGTCTTAGTCAATGACTGCATTTAATTTATTGTTATTGTGTATTCTGATAACTGAATTAATTGATATTTTGAATGTATTGATTCCCTTGTGCTTGTATGTTTATGCATACATTTAATTTATTTTTGGTTATTTAGGACCTGTTAATGTTTTATTTAAATGATATTCATTTGTTTTTTGGCCTTTTTTAGGTCAGGTTTTTTCTATGGACTGGTTGAACTCCAGCTTTGCAGAAACACTCGACTCAACTAAGAAATGAACGATGGCGAGCTTACCCAAAAACCTGAACTTAATTTAACCTGAATCAAATAACTGGACTGTTTTTTTATTTTGTTGTTATTCTTGTACTCTGTAAAAATTTATTTTCAATATACTTCACCCAACTTCATATTTATGACTTGTGTCTTTTCATTCACACTCGGGCTCCTCAAAGAACATTCTTCTGATGCTGCTTTTGTGGCCGTAGTCTGCCCCTAGCCCTAGCACATTTGCGTTACAAGACCATTTAATGACAGTGCGCTTTATAATCCAGAGCGAATAATAGTGCGGAAAATACGGTATTTTAATATGAAAGCAGCGCCTCAACTCTACAAAGAAACAAAAGATTAATCTGGTCAAGCTTTGTTTAATGCCACTTGAGCAGCTCTGACTTAGGACTTCAGGACAACAAACGCTACACAGTTTGAAGTAAATTTAATCACAAACATCTGGCAAATCAAGTCTCTGCTTCCACAAGAGAAAGTGCAGGTTAATGTGTTGGGGTAGAACATGTAATGGTGTCATCTATTACAACAGTGGAGCTCGGGAGCAGCAATGACATTATAAATCAATTATTTATAATGTCTGGAGTAAATTGGAAGAGGAGGGCGCCACATCGGTCCAGGGGGCAATCGAAAAGTTCAGCAGGTACAGCAGCTCTTTCCGTGTTGGGGTCAGAATATTCCTGAAGAGCTTGTGTTTGGAAAAGCGGACTTCTTCACAGGGTTTCAGTCTTATAGTCACCAGCGTCCTCCAGACAAGAGAGGTGGAACTGATACGTGCTTCACTGCTTCACTCACACACAGTTCATGCACAATTTTTGTCTGACGAAAAGAACGTTTGTGTACATTTGTGTGCACCTGCTTGTACCACTCTCGGGAGGAAACACGTCTTCGGTGGCCTATTTCAGTGAGCAAACGGTTCAGCATTGGCCTATACTGGCTCGCAACAGGTGCTTGTTACTGCACAATACATGCATCTCGAATTTTGGACTTCCGGTCATCGAGGGATCGGGATTTTGCTTTGTTGGTGCTCTACATACAAAATGTTCACTGCAAACACGGGATGATTTTTTACGCAGCCATAGGTTTCATTTTTGGTGTTTCCTGTGGATCAGTCCTGCCCCATCGCCTTCACCTTTCACTATTTTTCAATTCTGTTTGGAAGGGAAACAGTTTGAACAGAGGTTTGCAGTCACACACATCTGATTCCCTTTTGCAGTTATGGAGTTCGCAAACTTCCGAAGCCCGTTTCTCGAACCGTTTTCCACTGTTAGGATCCAACAAGCACACAATTATGATGTCCAAATCCCCAAACTAAAATATGACAATATCAGAACCAGAAACAAAAGTGATATGTTTCAAAAGACTTGAAAAGATCAACTTTGACAACAGACACATCAAACATGGTGATTTGATGCTCACTTATTTGGAGGTATGTGTGCATTGCCACACCAGCTTGTCAAAGCCTGATCCCGTCAGATCTCAGAAGTTAAACAGGACTGGGCCTGGGTAGGACTTGGATGGGAGTCCACTAGGAATTCCAGGAGCCACAGTGGGGCCCCAGTGGCAAAAACTGTCGTGTCCTTAGGCAAGACACTTCACCCACATTGCCTGTGTATGAAAGTGGTGTGTGTGATTGACAGCCTCACTTCTGTCGGTCTGCCCCAGGGCAGCTGTGGCTACAGTAGTAGCTTACCACCACTGAGTGTGGAGTGACTGAATAATGAACTGTAAAGCGCTTTGGGGATCTTGAAAGGCGCTATATAAATGTAATCAATCAATCAATCATTGCGCGATGATCAGAAGTTTGAAATTTGGGATGCATCTGTCACCGGCGAGGTGGGATGAATGTGACCTGGTTGTTCAGACTGAAGTCGCGTGTCAAAAGATCAGATATTTACCAGTTTTAGGCGCACATATCCAAGTGGTCTGGGTCACATTTGAAAAAATCGGATCTGTGTCGTTCAGACTCATTAAAAGATCAGATACAGGAACATAGGGGCCAAAAAAATGAATTTGGGTCACTTCAGGCTGCAGTCTGAATGTAGCTTAATAATCAGACTCAGAAAGTCACACCTCTCTACAGTGTGACAGATGCACTAAAGCACAGGTGTCAAACATGCGGCCCGGGGGCCAGATCCGGCCCTCCAAGACCTTTAATCTGGCCCTCGGCTGATTTTCTACTAAAATATTTTAATTCTATTTTTTATTAAAATATTGTTAATTTTCTGCAGTGCTGAACATTGCAGCGTCTCCAGCGTCTCTGTACGTGGCCCCTCCCACCAGAGCAGCACAAATGAAGACTTGTCTCTTTCCAAACGCTCTTAAAGGACGATCGTTTTGACTGTTGACCGTGACACCCTCATCAGAAAAATGTCCAACATGAGAAAAGTGGAGCCGAGTGCAGGATTTACCAAGAAAAATGTACTTATTCCTATTTATACAAGTTAATGTTAAACAAGTTCATATTAAAACATTGTGTTGAAATTGTATTTTTCTTAAAGTTTCAGGTTGTTCATAACATTATTTTGTAAAAGAAAGAGTTCATCAATTAAAAAAGATTTCTGTAATAGATTTGTGTTTCTCTGCACAAATATTTGAACTTATTGTTATTTTTGGGGTTTATATGACATGAGTTTTCTGATCCGGCCCCTTTGGGATCAAAGTCGGTTGGATGCGGCCCCCAGACCAAAATGAGTTTGACACTCCTGCACTAAAGCCTCAGCCTCCCCGTTTCAGCAGCTGGGCCCAACTCCAGATGAGACCGGTCATTCAACAATGAAAGCTACTATAACTACTCACCCAGAGAGTTGACACAAATTGTATTTATTTAGTTAATATTACTTTTTAGAATCCTTTCTGATACAAACATTCACAATCTGTTTTCACCAGAGCCCAAATTCTGCAGTAAATGTCTCAAATCTCACAGCTCAAGTGTTCAATTCACAGCGCTGTGTTTTTGAAGTGCAGAATAATCCGACATTTGAGTGAGACAAAATGTGTTCTCCGCACACTCAACAATGCCATTACGGAGCTGCCACAAACAGGACGCGTGCTGGCATGGAGACGGGGGTCCCCTGGGCCTGCAATCAATGTTTACTTTCCTCACAGATTTGTAATGCTACTTGGAAAATGGCACTTATTTTGCTTCTCAAACAAAACAGGTAAAAAAAAAGAAGAAGTATCACACAGGGAATACACTGAGAGAAAATATAACAGTTAGAGCTTAGAAAGGTTTCTCATGACAGGTTAGACTAATTCAAAAAGATGTGGACCGTGGCTCAGGGGGGAGAAAAGTTCTTAGTCAAATCAGAATCCAGGAGAGGGCAGCAAATGAAACAAGATTATGGAAAAAACTTTGAATCAGGAGAAAATTCTAAATCAAGCTTATCAAGTTGGCAGCCCAGAAACACGTCCACAAGAATACGGACGGGAAGTACAACTTTCTCATACCTGGGATAATGTTCTGATGAAGGACGGAAGATGGAGCTGCTGCTTTACTGCTCTAAGATCATAAACTACATGTACACACGAAAATGTTCCTTACCTGGAGACTAGAGCAGGAGTGTCAAACTCATTTTGGTCCGGGGGCCGTATCCAACCTACTTTGATCCCAAAGGGGCCGGGGGGGGAAAAAAGGCATATATACCCCCAAAATAGCAATAAGTTCAAATATTTGTTCAGAGAAACACAAATCTATTACAATTCTTTTTAAATCGATGAACTCTTTAACATTATCTAATATTATGAACAACCTGAAACTTTAAGAAAATGCAATTTCAACACAAAGTTTTAACATGAACTTGTATGTAAATATGTTTTGTTGTTTTTTTTGGTAAATCCTGCACTCTGCGTCCACTTTTCTCATTTTTGACATTTTTCTGATGAGGGTGTCACGGTCAACAGTCAAAACGATCGTCCTTTAAGAGCGTTTGGAAAGAGACAAGTCTTCATTTGTGCTGCTCTGGTGGGAGGGGCCACGTACAGAGACGCTGGAGACGCTGCTGTGATAAACACCACAGAAAATTAACAATATTTTAATAGAAAATATATTTAAAATATTTTAGTAGAAAATCAGCCAAGGGCCAGATTAAAGATCTTGGACGGCCAGATCTGGCCCCCAGGCCGTATGTTTGACACCCCTGGACTAGAGTGTGTTCACACTGCTTCAAGAAGGCTTCTAAATAAATTAGGCTGCTAGTCCCAAACTCTTCTTTTGCTCTGTCTCCTGTGTGTGTCTCCTGCATTATATTATGTATGACACTGCACAGAGAAGAAGAGGAGCTCCAAAAATCTTTTTTACATTGTAGAACATGGAAACCTGACCGAAGTCTGACGGTCGACTGTATGTTCAGCCTCGGGTCGGACTCAGACACATCAGAGCATCAGCTGTTTCCTGTCTACAGTAAAACCAATCGCTTTGAGACTCTTAACTTTTCAAAAGATCAGACGCTGCACTTCGAGTTTAGATCCAAGTCAAAACTGTGTTATTATTATTTGTGAAATGTGGTGCAAATCTTCAAATACAGGATTTTTAAAGCGTAAAAGAGAAGAAGTCCAGAGGGAGTAGAGTCACTGTCACTAATCTGCAGTTTCACCTCGATCCGTGTGCTGTGTGGATGTAAACAAACACAAGTGAGGAACTACTCTCACCTTTTTACTTTTAAACAACGTCTCAAACTCACTATTTTCGCTTTATCCCAAGTTTGTATTTTGCATCTCTGTGTCTGTCTCGGGTTGGATTCGATCACTGCTCTGTCGAACGGGGGCCGGGCTCAGACAGAAAAATCATAACTGCAAACTTGTCGCCTTTTGGCTACAGTCGTTTTCTTGGTCAATTGGGTCATTGACGTGAATCGCATAGAACCGGAGAGTTTGTTTTTTTAGGGGCTCAAGTTCGGAATAAAATTCTTCTCCTTCGAGTTTATATAGAAATAATAAATCCGAATTGAGGTTTACGTGGAAAACACCAACGTATTTACATCGACTGGAAGAAAACACACACTTCAGCTGCTTCTGGTTTTTCTGTCATCCCGGTTGTCGTTAAGCTTGGGGGCACGTTCATACAAACTGGGGAACAGCATCTAACCAGCGGGAGCAGCTGATTTTAGCGAATTTGTATGAAGAAAAATGAAAAACCCACCACTTCAAT